AGAGGGTGGGGGAGGGGCAAGGAAAGGGGCCGCTTCCTTATCCTTCTGGGCGTCACCAGTGACTCTAAGTGCCACAGCCTTACCTAGATGGGATCCTACTCTATAACTGCTCCCTGAAGAGGTCCTTTTGCCCATTTTTTAATTCTAATGACCCTTTAAAAATCTAGTGAATATATTTACACCTTGCACAACTTGACAGGTAGTAAAGAGGATAGTGAAAAATCTCCCATCTTTCTAAGGCAGCCAATTCCTAAATGGTGTTTTTAACTCATAACATTGTTACATGAGTGATAAAAATTCTCAGTATACGTCAGGCAGGTATTGAGTTACCATTTATAGAGGTCATTTCAACTAATTTCCCAATTTCTTAATTCTATAAACACTTCCTGAAGCATTTATTATGTGCCAGGAATTCAACCCTGAGGATATAACAATGAATGATATAGAAAAAACAAACTCTTAATGAGCATGTGTTCTAGTGCAACCTTAGTAGATTCAAATTCCTATCACCACATTAAAGATAAGGAAACTGAGGCTTAGCAGGGTCGACTGTGGCACCTGAAGTCACAAGCTCAGGTGGCAGAGCTAGAACTCAGTGCAAACCAGGTTTATAACAAATAAAGCCCCTGCTCTTCCTACTACCGTCTCCTAAAAAAGTTACCCACATGCTACACAGAGTGAAACTCTGAAATTCATGATCGTTCTCTTATCATTAATGTAAAATCAAATATAGATTGATTTCCTGAGGCAGTATCAATTTGCTGATGATACCACTAAGCACAGGAAGTGAGGGGCTGGAAGTTGAACCCAGGTTAAGTGTGATCAGGGCTCATGCTGTCCTACTTTATGGCCAAGTCCTGAGTGTATCTGCGCTGATTCTGATCAGATCTTCTTTATCTGTCTTCATCTGGTTCTGCATCATCTTTGCTCACATTGGGCCAGTCACTTCCTAGTATGAAAGCAGATATGAGATGTAGGAATACCTTCCAGACTTCCTGTCTACAGGGGCTTCCTGTTTCACATTATAGTATAAAGTTTTTGCTGTATACCTCAAGTATTATAAATATTCTCCCCTCACAGGTGTTTTTGCTTTTGAGAATTGTAACACACCCTGTTAATCTCTGACTTGATTTGCAAGCAAATTATCTCATGTAATCCTTACAGCATTCCAGTTATTACTAATTAGGAAGTGGATCAGTGTCTCCTTTCTTAATATAAGGAGACTAAGAATACAAAAGAATTGTTTCCTATTCAACTTTGTGTGCCCAAGGAATTGGCAGAACAGTGCTGAAAACTCAAGTTTTTAATCATTCTAATCTAGTGGTCTCTCTGCACAATGAGAATGTAACTCATTTTCAAACTTAAAGGTCCTTCCACTTGAAGATTCACTCGGTTCACATCATATGCATCAGTTATTACATTGCTGCATAACAAACAGTCCAAAACTCAGTAACTGAAAACAAGAAGTGTGTATTATTGCTCACACATCTACAGTTGAGCCTGGACTGATCTCTGCTGGGCTCTGTTATCTGTTTGGGAGGTCAGCTGGCTGAAGGCTGGTCTAGGATGATCTCAGCTGGGACAGTGGGCATCTCTTCCAAGTTTTCTCTCATCCTCCAGGAAGCTGGCCCTGCTTGTGTGCATGTTGAAGGTAATTCCCCAAGAGGGAGGATGGAAGCACACAGTGCCTCTAAAGGCCAGACTGGGAACAGCTGACCATCACTCCCATTACATAGTGTTAAGTCCTAAGGTCAGTCCCAGGTCAAGGGGAAGGGATATTAGCACAAGTTTTAATTATGTTCAAGGAGAAGGGCTATGAAGACCCACTGCAAATCATGTGCACTCAGGGAGAGAGCGAACATGGAGTCATTTTTGCGATCAGTCTTTCTGTCTGAGAAGAATAAAATTCAGAGAAGGCAATCAATTTGGGGATTGCCTCAGCTGAGTGAGGACTGGTTACACAGAACAGGAAATAGAAACCTGAAAATTCCTCTGAGTTAAAATGTCAGCAGCACTGTCTGGTTTTTCCCACCACACTCCCATCTTGGGCACACAGTTGCTTTGCCTCCTTCTCGGTCTAGCACTTTGTAAAGAGAGCCTCCCTGAAGGGATGGCATGTAGACTGTTCCCTCCCTTTTCTTGGAGAAGACCATCAGGTGTGGAGTTAGGACAGGTGCACAATCAGGGCAGAGAGCAAACCTGTTATTGCAGATTCTTATTTCCTTTTCCTCCTTTAAGTTGTTCTCACTTGATCTGACAAAGCAGGAGACAGCTTCATGAAAGGCTAAAGGCTGATTCCTCATTTTTCAAATAAAATCATTGGATCACAGGAGATAAGTTTAGGAAGAAGCTTTTCCCCAAAACCTAGGTCAGTTCTCTCATTGTAATGGTGAGGTAATTGACCTGGTTACTTAGTGATGGCCAGTTAGTCGAAGCACCAAGGAGGAAGTTCCAGGTTGCTTTAATACTGGATGAAGCTTTGAAAATGGGTAGCCCTCATTTTCCTATATTAAAAACACATTCCTATCTGCTGTGTTGTTGGTATAGTTGCCCAGCCACATAACATAGTTAGGAAAGAAATATTTCACATGTTTGACAAGTGAGAAATGCTTAGCTCTATGAGAATAAAGGGTTTCCTCATAGCTCACTGGTGGCTGCTGATGGAACCAGTATTTTCAGTCTGGTTCCTGATCTCTGGGTCCAGTTTTGTAGTGATACTTGGATTCCTCTGGAAAAAGTTGGGTGTTTACAATATAGCTAATTTCATACTATTTTCACAGATTTCCTCATTGTAGTACTTGTGATGGGGAAACCCATGAGGATGAGGGGATTGGAGAGGATTAGACACATGATGGTGGGGAACACAGACACAAAATAGTATAATAATGATGTAATTCTGAAGCACGTTTACATTTATTAAACTCTTGCAGATATTCTTAATTTTCTTTCTTCAGCAACTGGTTACAGGCAGAGGACAAAATGGAGGTGTGCGCACAGTAACGGTTTTCCTAGAATGTTCCATTACATGGGGAAATACCAAGCAGCAATAGCATCTCATAGAGTTAGCGACAGAGAATAATCGCAGTGCAGGTGCGCAGGGGAATCTTTACAAGGACGGGGAGGAAATATGTCAAAATTTTAACAAGGGTTTTGCCTGAGTATGTGATTACAAACACGTTTTATTGTCTTTAAACTTTCACATGTTTTTTTCTTATTTCTGGTGAACATGTATTACTTAGGGCGGAAGTAAGTTATTAACATACACACACTAAATAGATGGTGGTAGAGACCAGTGTGGGGTGTCAGAACCCAAGTGGGGTAAGGAGGGTATTCAGGTAGGGGAGGGGCAGTGGGAGCCTGGAGCAGGTGTCAGAGTACAGAGGGGATGAGGTAGGTTCTGTCCTGTGCAGGGGGACAATGGCAGGGAGATTCCCGGCCTTTAGGGAGGGAAACTGATGCAGAGAAAAATGCCTCCTCTGACATTTACTTGCTTATCTTTTTCATCAGTTTGCTTTTAGGAATTGAAAAAAAATAACACAGGGTTTGGGTTTTTGCCCTTGTTGTTTGCTATTGGATTTTTGAAAGACTTCAGGCCAGACTCTACATACTAGTCAACGCAGACCTCTCACTCCTTTCATCTGCACCCTGAACCTTCACACCTGTGCTCACCTGCCTGCCCCTTGGAGGCACTGGTGTGTGTGATTGTGGATGGATGCTTTCTGTGCCTTGGTTAACTCAGGTGGTTTTGATCAAATAAGCCACATCCATTAAGCCCCAGGGCCCAGCAGGCCCTCCCTTTGCTCAGGTTTTGCAAGATGTGGTGGAAGGTTTCAGTCATTGCTGGGCACAGACACCACCTGGGAAGGTAACGCATCTTATGTTTTTGTCTTTCAGGAAAGCGGGTGTGCCTTGGAGAGCAGTTGGCCAGGTCCGAGTTGTTCATTTTTTTTATTGTCCTTATGCAAAAATTCACCTTCAGGCCTCCAGACAATGAGAAGCTGAGCCTGAAGTTCAAAACAGGCCTGACCATCTCCCCAGTCACCTACCGCATCTGTGCTGTTCCTCGGGAGTGAGGTTGTCCGGGTGGGAGGGGAAGGAAAGCAAGAAGAGTTCCCAGGTCCCTGCAAAGCCCTGGTGCTTGCTGACAAATGAGGGGACAGAATGACCTGCGTCTGAGGAAGGTCCTAGGACTTGGACTCAGAGGAAACTGGATCCAAACCTCAGCTTTTCCATCCCCAGTTTAGCTCTGAGCGAATCAGTTATGCTGTGAGTGATTTGCCTTTTCACCAAGGAGATGAAAAAAGCATAAAGATTCCTTCTCCAAAGGAAGAATCACTATAAATATCAGAGGAAATAATGGACATTAATGATTTGGAAACCTTAAAGCACATCGTAGAAGTCATAGCTGACCCTCCTCCTTCCTGCTTCCTTCCTTGTGGGAGATTTTCTTCTGGCCTGTTGAAGACGCTCAGGTCAGAGTTTGCTAAATGGTGGATGAGAGTTCGCAGCCAGACACTGGGGCAGCCAAAGAGGTCGGCCAGCAAGGCCTTGGCACTTGGTAGCTCTGTGCAGCTTCTCCTGCTTCTGCCCGAAGATGGCCCCTGGGCAGTCAGCAGGGCAGGGCCTGTTCCCCATTCATGGCTGGTTTCTGTG